TGCTTTTCACAATGGTTGAACTAATTTACATTCCCACCAGCAGTGTAGGAGGGTTCCCCTTTCTCCACAACCTCGCCAACATTTGTTGTTGTTTGTCTTTTGGATGGTGGCCATCCTTACTGGTGTGGAGTGATATCTCATTGTGGTTTTAATTTGCATTTCTCTGATGGTTACTGTATTTTTTTTTACTCCAAAATTACTACATGGTTCCTTTTTATAATTTCTATCACTTTACTGATATTCACTGTATGGTGACCTATTGTTCTCATACTTTTCTTTAGCTCATTAATTATTAGTTCTTTTAGCTCTTTGAACATATTAAAAATAGCTGATTTAAAGTCTTTGTCTAATCACTCCAACATCTGAGCTTTCTCAGGAACAGTTGCTATTCACCGCTTTTTTTCCTGTAATATTTTCATGTTTTGTATCTCATATTTTTTTGTTGAAAACTGGACATTTTGAATAGTATAATAAGGCGTCTATGGAAATAGATTCTCTCTCCTCCAAATGTTTGTTGTCATTGCTGTTTGCTGTGGTTATGTTTTGTTTGCTTAATGACTTTTGTGATCTAATTCTGTGAAATCTATATTCTTTTTCATATGTGGCCACTAAAATATCTAACCAGCTTAGTGGTGAACTAAGGAATAGAAAGAAATTTCCTTGAATGGCTGAAACTAAAAAGGCCAAGGGTCTCTGTGTGCTCAGACATGACTTCAAGACTGCCAGGAAATTTGCCACTCTGTTAGTCTACTTCTTGCTTTCAAAAAGCCTCAGAATCAGCCAGAAATGAGAGTTTGGGGCCTTTCACATCTCTCCTGGGGATGCCCACAACCCTACACATGTGCACGTGGCCTTCCAGATTCCCAGGAATATGCTGGAACTTTTCAAAGCCCATAGGGACCTCTCAATCCTTAACTTCCCCTTTTACAATTTTTGGTTAGGCTATCACGTGGCCCAGCTGTTATCGATTGCTTCAGGCAGCTGTGATGGAAATGTTTGACAAGTATACTTAGAGGAGAGACTTTCAGCAATGGTCAAGTTCAAGTGAGTTCAGTTAAAGACAAGACTTTTGAGTGAGGTCTTCCAGGGAACCACTAGACAGGTCAGATAATGACCCCTCCTTGGCAATGAGGTTCTTTAAAAGTTTCAACTGTGTTCTCCTCCCTCTAGTACTCAGAAAATGGGCTATTTTTCAAGACTACTTCTGAGTTGGACAGTGGGGAACGGGACTAGGGTAAGTTACAACTCCACCAAGCTTGTTATTCTTTACTGTGATTCACCCATTTTTCTTGACTAAATGCTCCCTGAATTACTGTAAGCTTTGGTTGATTTCCAGAGTTCTAAAAAGGCTGATTCTGACAAATTTTGCAGTTCATTCCATTGCTTTTATGGGAGGACAAAATCTACTCTGCCACTTTTGCTGATGTTCCCTTTTTTCCCCATTTTTTTTAATACTTGAATTATCTTTGACTTAAGCCAGTGGAAGCCTTCCATGCAGGCTTCGGTGTCTTTCTGACACATGCCTCTCATGTTTTTGCTGATCAGTCTTCCTTCCTTGTGGTTCATGACCTCAGGAATTTCCCAGGTGAAATCTGAAACTGGCCTCTGTGTCCAGAGGGCAGGGAGAGAACAGAGAGGCATGCCACTCCAGTTTGGGAGGTAGCAGCTTTAACAGGCAAGGTGCACATGCAAGGCTTTGTCTTAGGCGGCCAGAAGACAATAGATCTCTGCACCTGCCGAAAAATCATAAAAGTTTAGATAGAGGACTTAATGGGGTTCCGTCATGCATACTGTCCTCTCAACGACAGAGTCCTCCCTCGAGACTGGGTCCTTGAAAACGCCTCCCACTCTGGGAATGAGGGGGCAGAGCATACATTTCAAGAACGGGGGAGAGGGTGAGGGGACTCCAATTGCCACGTCCAGCCGTGGGACAGTGGGAAGTCACATCCTCTCCATGAATCTCCTTCAATACTTCCTTTCTGGTCTAATGAGATGTTCCAGGATTCCCCCCCAACCCCCGTCCCAACTTCTGGAATCACCCATTTTCCCAAGGAGCCCCAGGTG